GAGCCTCTCCAGTGTATTCTTGACAGGAGGTTTTTCATTGACTCAGTGAAACAGACTTTTAAAACCTTTTTCTAGAGCAGTAGTTCTCAACCTTCCTAATGCTGCGACCCTTTAATACAGTTTGTTGCTACTAAGCAATGAAAATAATTTTATGGTTGGGGGTCACCACAACATGAGGAACTGTGATAAAGGGTTGTGGCATTAGGAAGGTTGAGAACCACTGAAATAGAGCATCTTCAGTGCATAGATATTCAGCCAAATCAATGGTCCCTGATTTCTAGCTTACACATTGTTCAGGAACCATCAGTTCACATGCCAATCCATGAGCCCGACTTTGCCACACATACTCATATATTCATGGTCCATCTGTGAGGTGCCAGTCATTCTGCACCTCTTGTCTTAAATTTTCACCAAGCCCCTGTAAGATTGGGATTATCATCATCACTTTCTAGATGTACCTGAGAGTAGGTACCGTGTGTCAGAGGATTCACCCAAAAAAAAAAAAAAAAAAAAAAGAGGACCCACAAACCCTGTAGATTCCAGAGCCCACACTTGTTCTCCCAGACCCTGCCATCCCAGATGGCCCTGTGTTCAGTGGACAGGTTACTTCTCATGTTACTAGGTCTCCCAAGGCTCTCAGCTTGCATTTCCCTGGCCTGTCACGGAGGCATCAGCTAACTGACTTCTGGCCTCCCGTGTAAAATGTGGAAGTAGGTGGGTCATCTGATGTCAGCTCAGTCCAGGCTTGGGCCTGAAACATGGTCAGTAGTGATGCCTCCTGATGTCCCCCAGCAGGCACAGCATTCCAGCCTGGTATGTGTTCTCTCTATTGATGACATTCATGATTCTTCAGCTAACTGTGGTGAGGGACTAGTTTTTTTCATTTCCAATCTGTTGAGGAATGATACTTTTTAAAAAAAAACCACGTTAAAAATGTTACAGCTATATCAAATTGCTGCAGAAGTCCCACATGCTTGCCTCCAGCTTCGATGCCTATGTCATTGTGGGCTGGCGGAGTAAGCAGTGCATGGGCCTGTCTGTGGCCATATCTTGGATGGCATTCGACCATGTAATTGAGGGGCAGCATAGCCTTAGAAGAAAAGTGTAATTTCTATAAGCCACAATTTTGAAATAAATCCAATTGTAGAGTAATAGATAGTGTCTGTGTTTAGCATTCTAATTTTTAATATTGTGTCTACAACTTCTAAAAATTACAAAAGTAGTTCATGCTTGAAACAAAAATCCCAACAGTATAAAAATTTCCAAAATAGAAATGTTCCCCTTACTCCCAGCCCCACCCTCTAAACAACTTTCATCAATTCTTAAATTGAAAGTTCATCGTGTGTTCAAGAAAAAAGGGTGTGGGTCAAAATTTACAAAGAGGGAGGGAGTGGGGAGGTGTTTCGGATATTTACCCAATTCTTCTGTTCTTTTTTGTTTTTTATTTCCGAGGGGAAACCATCACTTTTATGGGTGTATGTTACAGACTAAAGTGACACTCAGGTTACCTTCCACATGCAGGATTTTCTAACGACTGTTCTCTTTGTTGCAGAGCCAGATTACACTAATGGACATCCCCGTGTTTAAAGCCATCCAGCCGGAGGTCTGTACTTTGTCCTTCATACTGTTCTGTTAATGCTGTGGCTGGGAAGACAGGATGTTGTTTGTCACCGTTAGAGTGACTCAGGTTCCTGGTTTCTCTCCTGAAGTCTCTCTAAACGCATGTTCTCAATTGAAACCCCATTCCGTCCTTGATGGTGCTCATTTTCTGAGTCCTGTGTTTTGGTTCTCCAGAGAATATTCTCTGTCTGGCCTCTGGCAGGGCCAGGATCAGTTGGTACTCGGAGGCCTCCATTCCTCAGAGTCGGTCTTGACGCACTAATTCTGTTCCCTATGTCCCTCCTGCTGAAAATGTCAAGAAGGGGATCTGCGTGAAGGTTTTTCTAGAGAGCTTTCTCTCTCTTTTTTTTTTATCCCAAATTCTGGTGGTTGCCTTATTTCTGTTTTGAATCCAGTTGCCACAGCAAAAAACATCCATATTTACATTAAAAACATATGTACATTTTTAGAAACAGCATATTCAATAAAAGGTAAAAAGTTGAATTTGGTCTTTAAAAAAATTTCTGGAAATGTTTGATAATTGATAATGAGGCTCATTTTATGCAAAGTTTTTTTTTTGTTGTTAGCAAGTAACAAAAATCCATTTCAAAGTAGCTGCGAGGCAGAAGAGAAATTTATTATAAGGTTAGAGGGGCACTTTACGGGCTCGTGGACACGGAGTCCAGGCAGCCTGGAGAGCCGCCCAGGATGCAGGCGGTCCCTGGTTCCTCCCCTGCTTTGGCCTCTGCCCAGGGCTTTCCTGCCTGTACATGTGGTCCCACTTGGCCTCTCCAGAGGGCGCACTTGTACACCATCCCCATTCAAGCCACCGTCCCAGACTGAGACCAGCAGCTTTTGGTACAGGCCAGCTTAGTCATGTGCCCAGTGTCAGTCCAGTGAAGACAAGCAGGCAGGGCCACGGGAACCCAGCCCTGTGAGGGAGGGGCAGACTCAGGAGGGGGTGCGGGTGAGGAGATGCGTCACAAAGCACCCAGTGCAGCCATGTTGTGAATTCTAGAACACTCCACTGCCCTTCTCCTTCTGTATTGCCACCATTAAGACTTTGAGAAAGACAGCACATCTTAACACAAAGCTGAAGTATCCAGACCTTCTGAGAGCTGGCATCTAGTCTACTACAAATGAGGAAGAAACTAGTACTGCTAGCTTTACTCAGCATTTACGTGAAGACGTGGCAGTGATTAGTATTGCAGTGTGTGTGTCCATATGTGTTGTATTCATTAGCAGTAGGGAGCAGACCTGTTTGCTTTTTTGAATTGGCTGACCTCCAATCTTTTTCTGTTCTGTTCTAATGTAGAATGGTGCATTCTAATGAAAAACAATATCAACTCACTGCTTCTTGGTGCCTTTTGGGGGAGTAGTTGTGAGATGATCACCTCAGTTCTCAGCTGAAGCTGTTTCTGATCATGTTCTCTTCTTAGCTTTGATCTGGAGAAGTTTAGACATTTGGGGCTTTGTTTTTTGTCCTGAACAAGGAGGGCAGCCAAACCCGCCGTGAGCCCTGAACTAGCATGTGCCCAGGAGGCTGGGTCACTGTCCAGACTGACAGTAGGAGAGGAGGGACAGATACAGTGAGGGCCAGACCAGGTAGTCGGAAGGCACGTCATTAATGCATATCTTGCTTCACGTTGTGACAGGACGTGGCGGTGGACTGCAGCCTGTAGTTGTGGTTCTCAAATGTGGCTGCACATCAGAATCACCTGGATAGCCTTAGCAACATGGGGTGCCCAGACCCTCCCCATGACCCTTACATCTGCATCTCTGGGTTGGGGTCTGGAACCCAATCAGCTCTATTTAATAAACGTTTACCGGGTGATTCTGATGTAGAGTGAGGACTCAGAACTAATTTGTTTGAGGTTTCTGGAGAAACCCTAAATAAACTTGAACATCTAGGATCTGTAGCATGTTAGCTAAAAAGGGAAGAGTTTGTTCCTCGTTGTCAAAGCTTTTGTCAGAAGGAGGACCCTGGGAGCTCTTCCCCAGCTTCTTTGCTGCTGTTATTATTGTTAGCAGACTGAAAACTGGGATTTTTCCTCTTGCGGCTGCTTGCCATGTTGTGGCTGGACCACCCAGAGTTGGAAGGGCATGAATAAGGGACAGTTGTAAGTTTGATGTAGGCAGGACTTTCCAGGGAGCAGAGGCCAGCATCTGAGAGCAAGGTGGGCACTGCAAGTGACCCGGGCCCCCTGGGTCAGGAAGCTTGTATGTGGGCCAGATCCTTCCATCCCTACTTGTGCATCAGAATCAGTTTGGGCATTCTGTAAAAAAAGATACAGATGCCTAGGCTTCATCCTTAGAGATTCTGATCAGCTAGGTTTAGAATGGGGCTCAGGAATCTGCTTTTGAACAGCTCCCCAGTGGTACAGGGTCAGAGAGGAGAACAGGGATATGGATGATTATAAGACCGACAGCACTTTGCTTTGTGAAATCCTAACTCTCTAAATATATTTTTCTTTTCTAGTAACTAAAATTATTTTAATTTAACCTACGGAGATAATAATATTGGCCACAGATCCTGTAAGCCAGGACTCGAACCAGGCCCGAGTACTCAGCCATTACACCACATGTACTTGGCTTAGTGGGCTCCCTCCTCGTCTGCTGGGGAAATAGTCCACTTGTCAGGTCACCATTGTCTTAGGAAAGCAGTTTATGACTCTAGGCCTTCAGCTTCCTTCACAACTGAGGACTTTATGCTGGTGAGGTTTAAATATGGTGATTTGTCCTTCTGGAGTTTCCCTAGAAGGCATCAGCTGCTTCCCCTGGTTGGTCTTTTTCCAGCCTGCCTGAGGTCTCCACATCCTCCATCTTCCCACCAGGCTGTGTGTCAACTCTTTGCTTCTTAATGACAGGCTGGGGGTATTTACCTTCAAAAATGAAGGCTCCTGAGCGATGTGTCCTGCCTTTGGATCTGAAAGGCTTTGAGCAAACTGTGAGAAGTTATGGTGAGACCTGGATGCTTTTGGGTGGTGTTAGGAATAGAAGAAGAATGTTCTTAGTTTGGGGATTAGTATACCCAGAGCGTGTGGTCAATTGAGACTTGCGGTGATGGGGAGGTGGAGGAGGCCATTTGAACATAAAGATTTTAAAGCTCACTTGCCCTAACCACGGGGGTCTGGGAGTCATCAGTATAGCAAGAAGACAGCTCCCAGTGGTGGAGCAGCAGCCCTGCCCTTTCAGACCCTTACCCCTGTGTCCTCTTTTGGCTCAGCCCTGAATGGCCAGTGGGTCACTGCCTCAGCACTTACCGTGTATAGGCTCCAGGCCAGACACCTTAGATGCAGGGTCTCATTTAATCCTCATAACAACCTGCTATTATTATCTTTGTTTTATATGTGAGAAAACTGAAGCTCAGGCATGTTAAGTACCGTAATTCACTCCACGATCAATGTATTAGTCCTTTGTTGCTGTGTAACAAATTGCCCTCAAACTTAGCACCTTAAAACAATAAGCACTTATTACCACCCACAGTTTATAGGGGTGGAGAATCTAGGAGTGGCTTAGCTGGGTGGTCCTGGCTCAGGGCCCTCAGGAGGTTGAAGTCAAGATGTTGACTGGGACTGCTGTCAACTGAAGGCTTGCCTGGAGCCGGGAAGTCTGCTCTGGGGCAGCTCACTCATTGCCTGGCTGTTAGCTGGAGGCCTCAGTTACTTGTTATGTGGAACTGTCTAGAGGACTGCTGAGTGTCCTCAAGGCATGGTAAGTGACGTCCCCTAGAATGAGTGATCCAAGAGAGCAAGACAGAAGCCATGATGGCTTTTGTGACCTGCCTCACAAGTCACATCTTCTCATTTGCACAGTGCCCTATTAGTGTCATAGATCAGCCCTCTTCAGCAAGGGGGTGGGCACTATACAAGACTGGACACCAGTTAAGTAAGAATTGTTGGGGAACACCTTGGGGACTTTTCCTACAGGCCTCAGATCAGAGATCAAATTCAGGCAGTCTGATTCTAGACTTTAGTAATTCTGGCTCTGCTGGTCCCTAACTGTGTGACCTTGGATAAATCACTTAACCTTCCTGAGTTTCAGTTTCCTCATTTACAGAGTGGGGATGGCAGTCCTCCCTATGGATTAGTTGGAGAATTAAATGAGAAAGTACAGGTAAAGTGCTCCACACACAGCCTGGACCTAGAAAAACTTAACATTGGTTTTCCCTCTTTAGAATATGTATAATGTACAGGCATTGTGCTGAATGCTTAAAGACTTTCTATATGTTACCTCATCTGATCCTCATCTTACCCTAGAACAGTGGTTTTCAACCCTCTTAATGCCATCGCCATTTAATACAGTTCCTGTGGGTCGCAACCCACAGGTTGAGAACCCTGCCCTAGAAGGTGTGATGTTTATTCCATTTACAGATGGAGAAACTGTGGCACAGAGAGATGATGTAATTGCCTGAGCAACTTGTCACAGCAAGTAGATGATAGGAGCGGGCTTGACCCCATGAGTAGGAGTCCTGAGTTTACAGCTGTTATATTATTTTATTTTATTTTTTGAGACAGAGTTCCACTATGTCACCCTTGGTAGAGTACCATGGCGTCATAGCTTACAGCAACCTCCATCTCTTGGACTTAAGTGATTCTCTTGCTTCAGCCTCCCAAGTAGCTGAGACTACAGGTACCCACCACAACGCCCAACTATTTTTTGGTTGCAGTTGTTGTTGTTTAGCAGGCCTGGGCCAGGCTCGAACCTGCCAGTCTCAGTGCATGTGGCCGGCACCATAACCACGGTGCTACAGGTGCCAAGCTTACAGCTGTTATTTTTATTGTTGTCACCGTGACTATTCTTGTCACCCACCAGTACCGCTTTGCATCAGTCTCTTGCTTATCCAAGAAAAAGTGCCTTGCCTCAGCCCTACCCTGCCTGCTGCTCCCTGTCTTTTTACCTGCTTTTTCCTCTCCTTATTGTTAAACATTTCAGATACACACACACACTCCCCGTGTTTTACAAAGACATGGCCAACACGTCATGAATGTGAATCTTTTGTAA